GAAAGAAAGAAAAGCACCCCGAGCCCGCCTAGCCCGGCTGGGTGACACGCCACCCGGCCAGAGAGGGGGGGGGACAGGGAGCAGAGCGCAGGCACGGCCCTGCGCGGGCCAGACAGTGTGGCAGGAGTACAAGGTCCAGCGGAGAGACGCTACCTCTCCCGGGCCAATCCAGCACACAGAGGTCCCATAGGGAAGCAGCAGATCAGCATCGAGCGGGGGCTGGGCAACGTGCTATCGACCTGGGACTATCGTGTCCATAGTCGGAGTACGCCCAAGGGGCCCTGCTAGGGTGGTGGTCAAGAGGCGAAGTTCAGGTCCGGACTATGTGTCCAAGTCGTTGTGCTCCGGTTCAGAGTTAGGGGTTGCAGAGGTATCTAAAGATTCAGTTCGCACGTCCCGTCCGCGTGAGGGGGCGGGGGATGAGTCATGGTTGGGATCATGGTTGTGGTCGTGCCGTGGTTGTGGTCGTGGTCGTGGTCGTGGTCGTGATCGTGATCGTGGTCGCGGTCTCGGTCGTGGTCTTCTACAGCGTCAGGGGCAAGGTTTTGATCCTGCACGAGGTCATCGTCGGCATCAGGGGGGGGAGGCGGAGCGGGATTCGGGAACCCGTCCATCCATCGCCACCGGTCGGGGGGTGGCCGCATCTGTCGCGGTAGCAACCATTCCTCACGGCCAGAACCTCCACGTCGAATACAGCTCGTTCAGAGGGAAGCCCCCTAATGTCCGGGGTTTGTGCGGGTTTGCAGGTTCACCGGTTATTCAGTTATTCAGCATGGTCCTGGTTCACCTAGTCGTGGTACGTTTCCTGAGTCAGTCATCATAGGCCTGCATTCAGATGGTGAGGGCGTGTTTCTCTCGCTTCGAACGAACTGGCAGAGCCTCCCGCGGAGGACGTCGGTGTCAGCTGTCGCATTCCAGCCTCATCCCAAAAACACGGTTAGAATCCAGTCACCTTTCCCTCCGTCCTGCCAGATGAGGCTCCAAAAAATGAACAGTTCTGGGTCCGAGTCCACCAGGAGCTCCATGACCTCCTCCTCTCTCCGCCAGGGGCCCATCGAGAATGCTCGTCGTCTTGATCCGCTCCTCGCAGTATAGTCTTGATCACCGGTGTGGTTCTCCCGAGTTGTGGGCGGCCTGGGTAATGTATAAACAAAAGCAGTCGGGGCAGGCCCGCAGGACAGGGGGGTGTCCGGGTTTCTGGGCAGAGCTGGGAGGAGGGGGGGAGGGAGGAGAGGAGTGGGGAGAAGTCGACTGAGGTTAATCTCTCTGCTCCTGCTTAAATAGTATTCCCGGCTTCGAGCCTAGTCCCTCCGCCGACTTCCCACGCGTCAAGCGGACGAGGCGTGTATGTTCGAGGAAGGAGGGCTGGAGGAGGGGGGGAAGAAGCGAGAAGCGGGGGAGGAGGAGAGTGGCGGCGTGCCCTCGAGTTCCCTCCGCCGGCGAAGTGCTCCGGCTTCATCCGGGTGACACTCCGGTTCGGGGGTTTTTATGTTTCTAGGGGGTCAGGCCACCAGAAAGCTCTTGCGACGGCGTGCACGCACGTGCCGGGAGGGGGGTGTGGGAAGCTCATCTTGCATACGTGTGGAGGGTTTTTCCCGGTTGTCCTCCCGGTCGTCTCCGAGAGGAAGTAGATCACCTGTAAGCCGCCGGCACCTGCAGTCTGCGCCGGGGAGGCCGAGACCGACAGGTTTCTGCAGGGCACGTGGCCAGAGTGGCTCGTGCGAGGGAGGGCTGCCCAGGGGAGTCGCCGCAGCCACCCCGGCCGCAATGTCTCGGCACGGGGTGTCGTTCATCCGCCGATCGTGCGTGTTTATCTCGCGCATGCAGATCAGAGTGGTCGTATCCAGATCCTCCCCGTACGAAGGGAGAGCCTGCGGATAACGGGACGTCAGAGCATGTCCCCCAGTCGCACACGCTCCGCGGCTACATTCTCCCCGGGATCTGCGCTGCACCTGCTCTCGATCGTGCTGCCCCACGCGCGAGGAACCGCCCTGGCGCACTCCAGCCGTATTTGTCCGGCGTATAAAGTCCACGGGGGGCTCCCTCGGGACCCCGGTGGCGAGGGGCAAATCGGGTGTGCAGGCCAGGTCATGGGGACAGGCCGAGAGTGCGGTGGCGGGGGGGTCAGCAGCCACCTCAGTCGCCGTTGATACGTTCCCGAGGGGGTCACCCTCATATTTGCTCCGCAGCAGCGGGTGTTCGGGATTGTCAGGAGGGGGGGGGTGGAAGAAAGAAAAAGAGGGAGAGGGAGAGAGGGGGGGAGGCTGGGTTTTCCTGATTCCTGCATGGCCGTTGCCACACACATCCGAGCCTTAGTGCTAAGTATAAATAGAGGGGGGAGAGGATGGCTGTATTGTGTTTATCTTCTCGCTCACGCAGTCCTGTGCACCTGCTAGTCGTTTTGCATCTGTTGGGGCATAGGATCCGCGCAGGTGGGGTGTGAGACGAGGAACGAGCAGAGGAGCGAGCAGGGGGAAGGAAGGGAGTGGGGGAAGGAGCCGAAAGGAGGAGAGGCAGGAGAGGGGCGAAGTGCAGAGTGAGGTTTAGCGGAGTGAGGTTTAGCGATAGAAACAGGTGTGCATCGAGAGGGACAGATCCGCAGGGTGGAATGCCAGGAGGGGGGTCGGTGCCGGATCCGCTATATTCTCTATATGGTGGGCAGTTCGACCCTCGTCGCGCTCCCACGCGTGCGGACGCTGCACGCCTCCGCTTCGGCCAGTTTCCTGGTGTACAGGTGTCAGAGAGCGGGGGTCACTCGGACGAGATAGCCAGTACCTATTCCCCTCAGCCCCTGTCCGGGGGGCTGAACCTAGGCGCCATACTCCCCGCCTCCGCTCACCGTCCTCGTAGCCCTGTCCGTGTCCGAGGGGGGGATGCCGGTCCGCCGGGTTCCGCAATGTCCGTGTACACTTTCGGGGGCCGTGAGCAGGAGGCGGAGAGCCAGGCCCCCTACCCATCCCCAAATGGGGTCGGGTCGAGAGGCCCTTCCCCGGAGCCTTACGCTCCAACTCCATTGCCGTCCCCTACGTACAGCCCCAGTCCGCCTCCCGCACTCGTGGAGGCCGGTGGGTCATCCGAGTGTCCTTGTCCTGTGTGCCGTGTACCTTGGCCGCACGGCTGGACCGTCCGCTTCTACTCATTCGACGAGCTACGCCAGCTCCTGGTACATCTGCGACGATACCAGCCCGAGCTGTATCATGGGCTGTACCTCTTGGACGGGGACATTCCAGGGTCCGTTGGTGTGTTTTGTTGTCGCCGCTGTTCTCTGCCCGCGTCCTATCCCGTGCGCGTTGATGTTGGACTACCTGGGCCGGCCCTCTGACCAACTCCTGCGTATAAAGCTGGGACGCACCGGGTTCGAGAGAGACGTTTCTGCTCCGGGGCGCCCACCTCCGTGCGCTACCGAGGGGGTATCAAGTCGTGACAAATCCAAGCACACCACACAACATCGCAATCACAACGTTTTCTTTCGCTTTTTGCAGGGGCCCGTCGTCTCTACTGCTAGCAGCCCGGCACCGCTCCAGGAGGGATTTTCGAAGAGTCGACCCGTGGTACCTACTGGTGCGATCGAGCAGGGCCTGGGAACAAGCAATCTTTGAGACAAGCATATGACTACTGGCAGATCAACCAAATAGCCAACCTTTGCATCAAACTTGAGAACCAAAAGGAGAAGCAAGAGAACATCGATATGACATCATCTCTTTGTAAGCATATTGTTGATTTTTATCATTACAATTGGAAAAAATTATTATAACCTGATCACGGTAAATTAATCTAATTGTTACCACATACTCATTTATTTGTAATTTTGTTTTGTCTCATACAATAAGAAGTATCTTTTATGTTAAACATTAGAATTATTAAATAATTAGAAATAGTGTATATACACGAAATATTAACATTGTTCAAAAAACTATGAAATCTAAAGTGTGTATCTCCAAGAGACAAATGCATGGTAGTTGTATAGGGATGTGTTATATAAAAAAAAAAAAAGTAATTGATGGTAACACTTGACTCTAAACTAGGGCGACACATACCTCTAGTTATAGTCCAGTTCTTTCATAGAATTATTTCAATGAACACATCACCATAGAAGTCCTACACATATATGACATATTCTACTCAATAACAAATTTCCAATTATTCTTTCTCCCAATCTATTCCCACTTTCTATAATTATTCAATTACTTTGAACCTATAATGTTTAAGTTAATGTATACCAGATCTTAGGATTGTGGTCAGATGGCGAACAAGTTTAAAAGCGAGCTGGGGGCGAAAGGGAAACGGATCCGAATATTCTAGCGTTCATAGGAACGATACTTGAAGTGGATTACAGTTCGCGAAAGGGCAGCAGATCCGAATATTCTAAGGTTCATAGAAATGATACTCGAAGTGGAGGACAGTTCGCGAAAGGAGCTGGGGGCGAAAGAAGCGGATCCGAATATTCTAACTATGCTGGAAGTGGAGGACAGTTCGCGAAAGAATCGCGACGGAGCTTTGAAAGGTACATTAACAAATAATATCCATTGTGTTCTAAGGAATGCGTTTAGGAAAGAAAATAAAAGATTTTATTCGCTGCTCGTGAAGAAAGATAAAACTGAACCACTCGACCATACCAATACCTGTTTCGAAGTAAAGTACGTAGATTCTACCACAAAATTGTAAAGAACAATCGAATTATAACCAAAATAATCGCTAATACATATTTAACAATCGCTGGGTTTAGCGAAGGTTGTTTAGAGATTGAATTTGAATATAACTCTGCGCAAACAGGAAAGAAAGGCATGAAACTACTCTTAGTTTGAGAGAAAGAAATTATAGAAGTTTACACCGGACATATATATATATATATATATATATTCATTCATTCATGCTCCCGTCATTCCAGCCGATAAAAATTCAACAAGAATCTTGATTTAGTGTAAGGAACACCACTCTACTCGCTTATGGTCACTCTCACAAAGGTTCTTCCGCAAGATTATGTAAACTTCTATAATTTCTCGCTGAGAGGAGCGAGACGCCCCTCTGAGCGATCCTGTAAACACCTGGGACACCGGCATGTACGCAGCGACGGTGGGCACAGACTCAGAACGGCGAGAGAATGGAAGCTGGGTTTTTGTCGGGTTTACAGGATCGCTCAGAGGGCCGTCTCGCTTGGGAGTCGAGAGTGAGTGAGCAGGGAGTGACGGCGATTGAATGCTCTGTCTTGCAGCGAGATGCTAGTCCGAATTTGAGTTCTTTGGGTCGAGGGCCGATGGACCAGACTTGAGCTGACATTGCACTTCTGGAGAGAGAAGTTGTTGATTCGAGTTTGCCAACATGTCGAGCTTTTCCAGGGGTTCCGAGAGATCTGGAGATCGGCTCATGGAGGGTCGGGCAGGAGGTTGAAAAGTACAGGGTAGACTTTAAATTCAGAAAATTCTGGAAATTCTGGATCTGGAAAATTCTCTCTCCAGCACTGCGGGAGGCAGGGAATGTGGAAGATTCCCACCTCTGGGAGTTTCTGGCTCTTTCTGTGCTCGCGGTGGCAGTTTTCGTTTTCTGTCTTCGGCTGGTCCGAGATTTTATTCCTCAGCTGCAACAGCAGAAGCACCCCCGGAAGCCAAAGAATCGTCTGCTGCCCGTGCGTTAACGTTCGTGGGATTGCTCGGTGCTTCCGCTGCTGCTACTTATAACTTTTATCCCAGGCCATCGAAGACACCTGTAGTGGAGCCAGCAGAAGAGGTTCACACCATCCGTAACTGGAGCAACACTCATGCCAAAACAAGTGTCTACGTGCTACCCGAATCATTAGAGGAGCTAGAGAATGTAGTTAAGATTGCTGATGCGCACAAGCAAAAGATTAGGCCTCCTGATAAGCCGTCGTCGATCAGGGACATCGTGTTCGATACGTCGTCCGGGACTTGGCACAAGGCCGCCTCATTTTTCTACACCTCATGTTTCCTGTCGGACACGGCTTTCACCAAGAAGGGCATGATCACTTCCTCGGGAAGCTTGCTGCTGATAACCACCACTGACCGACAAGATCACTCCATGGTGGTGTTCAATCCCATCAACAAGACGAAAAAATGGATTCCGAAAATGCCCCGATTAGAATGTGTCATCCACGGGAATAATCATGGACAAGGAGACGGGGTCGTACAAGATTTATGTGGTAAATGAGCCAACGCCAGGAGAAAACATGAAATTCCAGGTGTACGATTCTCTGACGAATAAGTGGGAATCAACTGCACCTCTTTTGCGGGCCGGGGTGGCGGGTATATGTACTGCCTGCTCGCAAAATTGGCTCTGAACTACTCGTATCAAGTGTACCGCGTGGGAGTGAAGGAGAAGAAATGGGAACTAGTTCGAGCTGTGATGCCCCGAGGCATCAACTTTCCCCACTTGTTTGAACACGAGGGCCGCTTGCTGTTGGGTGGAGGCATACAGGGTGCTCTTGCAGGGTCGCATCGGACTCTGGCAGGAGTGTATGTGTGGGAACTTGATGTAGTGAGCGATCAGTGGGTGGACCTCAAGCACGCGCACGAGACTTCGAGCTCCCAACGCAGTAAGTCAGATACACCGGTGTTTGAGGTTGAGGCGGACACACACGAGTGGATACCGAGACTGCAGATGCCTAACGAGATCGTCCATGAGCTCGAAGCTGGGCATGACTTCTTTTTTGTTGCGAATGGAGACTACATTGGCGTTGGGTCGCGCAGAGTTGGATCAGGTGATTCTCAGATTATGAGATACATGTGCAATCTGACCACAGGATACTGGTGGTCACTGCCAGTCCCCAGCAGAAACCTGTGTCGGTCCGTGCAGATAGAGGTTACGAGCACCATTCTGTTCGAACCACGACTCGATGTTCTGCTGTGAAGGTGCAACTGCTGAGGCTCAACTATGTGCAGTGAGCTCCAAATTGTGGACGACAAGATACGGGCTGATGGCTGATTTATGAAGTCGCAACGGGAGAGTCTAAAGAGCAAAACTATGGACGGTTAGAGAGAAATGGATAGGATGTAAATTCTGCGACAAAGGTTGGAAGCCATGCCACTGCTCATTTGCAGCATGTAATGTAAACATAATTTCTGTGAAGCGCTGCGGGACCTTATGCCAAGCCCCATTAAGTGGAGATATGGTTTACAGTCAACTTTTGAATCGCTTGAAGGTGTTATCCATTAAAATTAGAGCTCTTCCACACTTTTTCCAGATTCCAGTTGTAGATGAATACTTGAGATGGGAAGGTCAAAACAGTGGAGCCCACCCGTTTGCATCATTTTGCATTGCGAACAGGTATCTCTCTTCTATGTATCTTGTTCTCCGGTGGAACAGAGAGGGAAAGCAGGGTCGATAGGGACGAACAAAGTACAGATGAACAAGGAGCGCAATATATAAAGTAGCTTGCGCTCTGCCACCTAGAGTAACCCATTAGTTAGGTTAGTTAAGAAACCCTCCACACACAAACCAAGAAAATTTGCCTGCGTCTTCACAGTCGAATAAACTCCGTGGTAGATTCCACCTGCGAGAAACCGGGAGCAGGAGTAGATCGCAGCTAGCTCTCCCGCTCCCCTCTTGGTTCTGTCCGATTTATAACCACTATTAACTTTCCGACTCCCTTGTACATTGTCTTGTCGGATGGGAATGTGCTAATCACGTGCTTATTACAGTTTCCAAGCTTTGTCTACATTACGATATCTTCAGATCTGTACACACTGGAATTGGTCGCATCACTGCACTCCAAGGTAGAATGGACAAAACCTTAAGAGTCACAATGACAGTAAGGTTCCTATGTTTCGAGGCAAAGATCACCAGCGAGCGGAGTCAGATTCCAAGATGGTTCCGTCCATACTTGTCGGTACGTGTACTTCCACGAACCGCTCACCCTAGCTCACAGTTGTCGAATGGCTCTTCAACGAATGCTGGCCCGGAACTTCTGCGATTCGTTTGGATATTTAATCTCATGAAGAGAAGCCTCGAGGTTATGAGACATCTCTGTGGATTTTCATCCTTCAAGCCTGCGCCAACTACTAACTAACGGGAACGGCCGATGCCATGCGGTGCAATCATCCTAAATGTGGCGGAAAAAATGAAGGCTTGGTGCATCTTTGCATGATGTCTTGACAAGCTTTGTGCTCTTATGTGACGGCCTTATGACCCATGACCAGTAAATGTAGGATGAATGCGTGACGATCGCATTGCACTGTGTGGTGAGTGGTTCGAACTTGGGAAGGATGGATGCGAGTTTACACAGTCTATTTATTTGTAACTGACATTTGACTCTTGTTCCACAACATACCATCTGCCTTGTTTGCCTGCTTTCGAGCAACGCAAACTTTGCATGGACTTTGACTCCGGTGTTTCGCTTGGTGCCGATCGTGCCGATTCACAGTTATCCGCCTCACCCAGCTTGACATCTGGGCGAGGCAAACTTCTAATATTATCTGCTTACCCTTGAGAAACAGTGGCCAAGAGATCGTGATGACTTAAAAGCCAGATTCGAAGTTCATTTCGAAGCACACCAACCATAAGGTCTGGCTGGACTCGAGAAGCTTACAAACGACATGCTTTGTGCAGAAGCGTTTCGGTGGCAAAGATCACACATTGTGCTGAAGAGAGGAGAGTAAATACGAGACTGTCTATACACCTAAAGCCTTTGTGACCTTTCTAGACAGGACTCAAACAGCAGGGATAGTCACATACTTCATGTGAGCAATCGATCCTCTTTTAAGTGAAAGTCGATGAACAGTCACTATCCTGGACTCATGCACATGCACATTGAGCACAGACAGGCAATTTGATTCTTCAGGATATTGGAACACTTCACTTTTTCGGAAGAAGTCCCTCTTTCCAGCGATAATGCGAAGGAGACCTCGGATCTCTATCGGATGCTCCCCTGGAAGAAACTCTGAACATCTATCCGGTTCAGAGTGAACTTCTACCAACTTTTCCACTGATGTGACGAGATACCGAAGGGGAATACTGATGAAAGTTAACGATATCAATTCGCCATGTAGAGGACGACAAAATTGCAAGAAACTTATCCGAAATTAACGAAATCCGCCAGTTGAACGCCTGATCAAGGTAAGCTCATCAAGTTTCACCCACCAGAGAGTAAGCTCAACCCGAGGGACATGCCTTCCAATCAACTCTGCCGGGTGTTTGGCAGGCTCAGGATCATGTGGCAAACAAGATTCACAGAGTCATGACTCGCACAAAGGCCCCACATGTTTCGTCGAGGGCATGCAAGGAAAGCAAGAGAGAATTCTCATTGTTCTAGGAGTTGTTCAGGTGTTGTTAGAGTGAAAGTCAGAGTTCTAGCTGAGCAGGAACGTGCTTTCCAATCACTCGATAGGTGAGCTTTCATGCAGAGTTCAGATGAGAAGATTAGTGGAACTTACGCAAGTGACACGTGGTGTTACAGATCAGAGTCTAATGATCATCGTATGGGGAAAAAGTGTTCACCTACGGACCCCTACGGAAGGACGTGATTGGGCGAAATGCTGTGCGGCTTGTAGAAAAGACCGATGCCCCGCAGCAATTATCGAAGACCAGAGGCGTGGGAGTATGATTTCCTTTTATAGCTTCTGAAACGTACGTCGAATTTCCGACCTTTGTTTCTTGTTGGTCCCACGTAGCTTTCTCGTTTACCGGTTGCGTGCAGTTTGGGGTTGCAGCAGCCTGTCTCGGAAGGGGGTGTAAGGAAATGGATTTTGCTCAGATCAGAAACAAAACACCCAACAGACAACAAAATGAATAAGTATGACATCTCATGTAGAAAAGTCGAATCTTCGTGAGAATGATTGTGTAACTTCTTTCGCATACAATATGCTCTAGAGCCACGCAGAACTCAACAACGAGTTTTTTCCTACTTTTCTTTGATGTGCTGTCTTTCATCAACTACAATTGTGGAAAAAGCGAAAGTATAATCAATGGTCAAGTAGAACCCGGAACTAAGCTGATGACTAAAGAGGATGCGAAGACCCGAGGGTCAAAACGCAAACGGAAACTAGGGGCTAGGTCCCACTTGTCAAGGCATACATTGGTTTCACGATGATTAAAGCCAGGAGCGAATTCAGCAATAAAAATTTTGGCGTGATGTTTGGGATGTGATGAGTTTTTTGAATGTACCCTAACTTCACCTTACTCGCAGGATCATGCAGTGATACTGGGAGAGTATGCACCTCAACGGAATCTGAGAAAAAGGTGCAAGGCATGCGAAAAAGCAAGAGGCAGGAAAGATGAACAACCTTGATACAGCTTATATAAGTAAAATGTGGTGTGTTCACGGAGCAATTTTTATAAAACGCGGTGGGAATACCATGGGATGTCGCCATGGTATGAAACCAAACTGGTTCCATGTAGTTAACCAGTTTGTGGACTCTTTTGTTTCTCTTTTTTTGTATATTTATATTGTATAAGCATTGGAGATTGAAAGTTGATACTTTAGTTTAATGTTTCAACCAATAGCATTTTGTTGAATATGTTAAATTATTGTTCATCAAGTTGTGTTTTGAATGATTTAAGGAGCTCAAACGCTAAAAATTCAAGCAAAACAAGCATAAAAGATTTTTGTCTTCTAATGTCGAAGAAGTCAAAATGAATTTTTAGTACATCGTATAAGATTTTTTGTTTTTTAATTTATCATTCTATACATGCGAATATATATCACCATACAATCCACATCGCTGACATGACATATTCACACACACATAAAAATTTATTCAAATGAAAAATAAAATAAAAATTCAAAATAACATGGTATTTAATAAAAAAAATAATGACATAAATTTGATGATACATTATATACCAGAATAATATTTTTGTTTTGCATGTGGCTTTTGGATTTTTTAATCCTATCTCATCAATATGTTTGCAATTATACAGTTCAAAAATACAATATATAAATTAATAAATATCTGCCTAAATTTATTAAATTTTTCATCACTTTAAATCTATCCAACCATACGACATCCTTATAAATTTTTATTTCACACATAAAACATAGTTTATTTTATAATATCAAAAATAAATTTTATGATTCAAGTATCATAAAACTTCAAGCATTGAAGCATGATAATAATTAAAATGTTAAGTATGAATAATTGAATTTTTAGCAACATAAAAATATCTCATTTGATAAGTTTTTAGTAAATAGAGCTTTGAAATCTTTACAGTCTTCACAAAAAATATGTAAATTCTATTAATTTTTCTTATGAAAATTTTTCAACCAAATATTCATCAAAAATTTTTATTTCAATCAATTCATATATCAAATATATTATATTGACTTTGTCGGTTCTATATTCCAGTGAGAACTGACTGGTTGTCATCCTTGCCACACATACTTTCTCTCTTTCACTTAAAAAGGAAGTATACTTGCTGAATCTGCTAAGAAAATTCAAGAGCATATGAGCAAGAATAAGTTCAACAGGTACAAAATTGAACAAAATGTGACTAACCGACAACAAAGAAATTGATATACATCATCCCTATCAATACAGATGCATTTTCATAAAAGTCCGTCTAGTAAATTTTTGTATCTCCATGAAAGCGAGATATTATTTGATGACAGACATGTGTGTTGATGAGGAAAAAATTGTGACTACTTATACTTATATTTCCATCGTCCAAGCCTTTCGCATATTGCGTGCAGATTTTTTTCCAACGGCTACTGCAATTTCAATCACAAATACTTTAGCGAGTTATACAATTTGTGTAGATTGATATAGTTGATATCATCGTGTACGTTACTTTCCGCCAAAACATAACTTTGATCAATTTGATTTTTAACCCATTTTTCCTTTCTCTCCTTGCAGATCCAAACTAATTATTTTTATCTATCTTTACAAATGTTCCACTGGTGATCTGTCTCGATCATATCGATGTTTATCTTTAAAATGTTTTTGTTTCTCGAAAAAATACCATGAGTATTCTTGCGATCACAATCTCATCCCACTCATGACAATGTCTTCATTTTCAAACTGAATTGCGCAATTTTGCTCTAATTTTGTCAGACGAATCAAAGCACACAGAATCTCACCATCAAGAATGAAACAATCTACCCAAGTCTTGTAGTCTTGTCTAGGTGAGAAAGATGATTAGTAAATCATAAGTGATATCGTGGATCTTTCGTGAATTTCAACAAATGCAATTCGAAATTCACCCCGGAGCACTTTTGAGTTATCTTCATTTGTTTCAGGGTGGCATTTCTTGAAGTGATAAATTCAAGTTATAACAAAGTACACCATACTTTGTTTGAACATCACTTCTTGAATTCCACACTACGCGAGTAGTCGTCATGCTGCCATGTACTCACGTACTTTGGACAGATGACCTCTTTGTAACGATCTTTCATTCATTTTGGGGTAACATACATCTTGGGGCAAAAAAAATAATTGCAAAATGTATGAACTATATTACTACGTATAAATAGTGTTCACGTTAGATACAAGAGGTTTCCTTACGACGTGATGGCGATTTAACACATGAAGAATATTATACATCTCAATATTAAAATTTGTGTTGTTCGTTATTTTGTGTGATCATGAAATTTTTCATCTTTCACAAATCATCATTCTAAAGACAATGTTATATGCATTACAGTATGTTTCAGACAGATTTATTTATTTATTTATCAAGAAAAAATATTTCCTGGGATCAAGCTTAATTAGGATTGATAGTGGGTTTATGCGATTTGAAAAAATATTCATAAATAACAAAAAATCATGCCTGGATAAATATCCATCTATTATATAGATGATGCGTGTAGCTGCAATAGACAATGGTTTCAAGTGCAAAGGTATGTAAGGTGTAGCATTTTTTTATTTGATCCTTGACATTTTACAGAGTTATGGACGTTGACTTAAACATGTTCGTGAGATTGTAAATTTCATATCATACTGTATGATGATATCATCCTCTTATTATATAGATTATTTCAGATAGCATATTTCAACTGAGACATCGAGTGTTTTTTTTTAATAACCAATAACATTGGAAGATGATATCTACATCATTGTCTTGTTTGAAATGATATTTCTTTATTACTGGAATTTCTCTTTACAAATTTTCTTTAATATGTGCTTATTGGTTCACCCTTGAGGATAAGCTGCATATCAATATTTCATTCAATATCCTAATTTCCTTTCATTTCAAATCAGCTTCTGTTAAAAACAAATCTGTATGTGTCATTACATATCTTGTTAGTGTTGTGTCATCTCCATCTATTATACAATAATACTCGCGCCTATGGTTTACTATCAAAGCATCCATGTAGCTTTTCGTACAGAGTAGAAAGGTGTCCCGTTGATACAGTTGTTCCTGTAACAATTTGACCTCATTAGAAACGAGCTGTTTTGCTGCATTAAGTTTGGCACTAGCTGATTCAATATCAGTTCACAACAGCCCAGCGCCAATTTTAGTGATGAATTTAGCTCTGGTGCTGTAATATTTCTAAAATTAGGGCTGTTATCTATACATATCAGCCTTCTTTTATGGGTCTATTGTGATCAGAGTAAAGGCTTATGGTCACTCTTCAACTCTGCTTTATCATCGCATATTGTCAAATGCATTTATTTTCTTTTACTTTTCCTGATTTGAAACTCCCTACTACTACTCCCTACATGGGTTTGAGAGGCGAAATGTTCTGCGAAGAACTCATACAAGCGTATAATTGACAACACACCACCATGGAGAATATCTAACCATCAATATTCCAGGCACCCAAGTGAGAAGTACACCTACAGAGGAAATGATAGCACGTTACATGTTAGTTAATTCCTTGTCTCGAGCGCACTTTTGAGATTTCGAGAGGACTTTATCACACCCTCTTTTGTCACTGTCATATATGAATCCAACCATTTTATTCGTTGAACGCACTATAATCAAGTGAAGGTTTGTCAATGGATCACCCACTTCATTTCATGGACGTCATTCGGATTCATGGTATCTGTACTCATTGGAAAGAGAAATGAGCGACAGCGGTAATTGAGAGGAATAACTAAAACTGAAATATAAGTCTACATATAAACCCGAAGTCATATCACAAGCAGAAAGAAAGGTGATTGACCAATCCAAGTAATATATATACGTGTCGATCGTGTATAGTATAATAAGTTAAAAAGCAAAAGCTCTTATGCGATATACTAAAAATACATTTTTCCTTCTTCGTACATTGGGAGAAAAAAATCTTTTATTACAAAAGTAAATGCTTGTGTTGCTTGACTTTTTAGCGTTTCAGATCCTTAAATCATTCAAAACGCAACTTGATGAACAATAATTTAACATATTCAACAAAATGCTATTGGTTGAAACATTAAACTAAAGTATCAACTTTCAATCTATAATGCTTTTACAGTTTAAATAAATCAAGAATACAAAAAAGGAGAAACAAATGAGTCCAAAAACTGATTAGCTCCATGGAACCAGTTCGGTTTCATCCCATGGCGACATCCCATGGTAATCCCACCGCGTTTTATAAAGATTGCTCCGTGAACACACCACATTTTACTTATATAAGCTGTATTATGGTTGTTCATCTTTCCTTCCTCGTGCTTCCTCGCATCCCTTGCACTTTTTCTCAGATTCCGTTGAGGTGCATACTCTCGCAGTATCACTGCATGATCCTGCGAGTAAGGTGAAGTTAGGGTACATTCAAAAAACTCATCACATGCGAAACATCACGCTAAGTGTTTTCATTGCTGAATTTGCTCGTAGCTTTAATCATCGTGAAACCAATGTATGCCTTGACCACCGGGACCTAGCCCCTAGTTTACGTTTGCGTTTTGACCCTCGGGTCTTCCCATCCTTTTTAGTTATCACCTTAGGTCCCGGGTTATACTTGACCATTGATTATACTTTCGATGGAAGGACAGCACATCAAAGAAAAGTAGAAAAAAGCTCGTTGTTGAGTTCTGCGTGGCTCTCGAGCATGTTGTATGCGAAAGAAGTTACACAATCATTCTCATGAAGATTCGACTTTTCTACATGAGATGCCATACTTATCCATTTTGTTGTCTGTTGGGTGTTTTGTTTCTGATCTAAGCAAAATCCATTTCCTTACACCCCCTTCCGAGACAGGCTGCTGCAACCCCAAACTGCACGCAACCGGTAAACGAGAAAGCTACGTGGGACCAACAAGAAACAAAGGTCGGAAATTCGACGTACGTTTCAGAAGCTATAAAAGGAAATCATACTCCCACGCCTCTGGTCTTCGATAATTGCTGCGGGGCATCGGTCTTTTCTTCAAGCCGCACAGCATTTCGCCCAATCACGTCCTTCCGTAGGGGTCCGTAGGTGAACACTTTTTCCCCATACGATGATCATTAGACTCTGATCTGTAACACCACGTGTCACTTGCGTAAGTTCCACTAATCTTCTCATCTGAACTCTGCATGAAAGCTCACCTATCGGGTGATTGGAAAGCACGTTTCTGCTCAGCTAGAACTCTGACTTTCACTCTAACAACGACTGAACAACTCCTAGAACAATGAGAATTCTCTCTTGCTTTCCTTGCATGCTCTCGACGAAACATGTGGGGCCTTTGTGCGAGTCATGACTCTGTAAATCTTGTTTGCCACATGATCCAGAGCCTGCCAAACACCCGGCAGAGTTGATTGGAAGGTATGTCCCTCGGGTTGAGCTCACTCTCTGGTGGCCAAAACTTGATGAGCTTACCTTGATCAGGAGTTCAACTGCCGGCCTTTAATTTCGGATAAGTTTCTTGCAATTTTGTCGTCCTCCACATGGCGAATTGATATCGTTAACTTTCATCAGTATCCCCCTTCCATATCTCGTAACATCAGTAGAAAAGTTGGTAGAAGTTCACTCTGAGCCGGATAGATGTTCAAAGCCTCTTCCGGGGGAGCATCCGATAGAGATCCGAGATATCCTTTGCATTATCGCTGGAAAGAGGTACTTCTTCCAAAAGAGTGAAGTCCTGAGAAATCAAATTGCCTGTCTGTGCTCTATATGCATGTGCATGAGTCCAGCATCGTGACTGTTCATCGACTTTCACTTAAAATAGGATCGATTGCTCACATGAAGTATGTGACTATCCCTGCTGTTTGAGTCCTGTCTAGAAAGGTCACATAGGCTATAAGTGTATAGAGAGTCTCATGTTGACTCTCCTCTCTTCAGCTCAATGTGTGATCTTGGCCACCGAAACGCTTCTGCACATAGCATGACGTTTGTAAGCTTCTCGAATCCAGCCAAACCTTATGGTTGGTGTGCTTCGAAATGAACTTCGAATCTGGCTTTTAAGTTATCATGATCTTTTGGCCACTGTTTCTTAAGGGTAAGCAGATAAAACTAGAAGTCGGCCTCGCCCAGATGTCAAGCTGGGTGAGGCGGATTACGGTGAATCGGCACCAAGCACTATCGGCACCATGCGAAACCCCGGAGTCAAAGTCCATGCAAAGTTTGCGTTGCTCGTAAGCAGTCAAAGGAGGCAGATGGTCTGTTGTGGAACAAGAGTCAAACGTCAGTTACAATAAAAAATAGACTTTATAAACTCGCATCCATCCTTCACCAAGTTCGAACCACTCACCACACAGTGCAACGCGATCAGCATTCCGCCTACATCTACTGCTCATGGGTCATAAGGCCGTCACATAAGAGCACAAAGCTTGTCGGAACATCATGCAAAGAAGCAGCAAGCCTTCATCTTTTCCGCCACATTCGGATGATTGAACTGCATGGAATTGACCGTTCCGTTAGTTAGTAGTTGGCGCAGGCTTGAAAGATGAAAATCCACAGAGATGTCTGATGACATCGAGGCTTCTCTTCATGAGATTAAACATCCAAACGAATCGCAGAAGTTCCGCGCCAGCATTCGTTGAAGAGCCATTCGACAACTGTGGGCTAGGGTGAGCGGTTCGTAGAAGTACACCTACGGACACGTATGGACCGGAACCATCTTGCAATCTGGCTTCGCTCGCTGCTGATCTTTGCCTCGAATCATAGGAACCTTACTGTCATTGTGACTCTTAAGGTTTTGTCCATTCTCCCTTGGAGTGCAGTGATGCGACCAATTCCAGTGTGTACAGATCTGAAGATATCGTAATGTAGACAAAGCTTGGAAACTGTAATAAGCACGTGATTAGCACATTCCCATCCGACAAGACAACATACAAGGGAGTCGGAAAGTAAATAGTGGTTATAAATCGGACAGAACCAAGAGTGGAGCGGGAGAGCTAGCTGCGATCTACTCCTGCTCCCGGTTTCTCGTAGGTGGAATCTACCACGGAGTCCATTCGACTGTGAAGACGCAGGCAAATTTTCTTGGTTTGTGTGTGGAGGGTTTCTTAACTAACCTAACTACTGGGTTACTCTAGGTGGCAGAGCGCAAGCTACTTTATATATTGCGCTCCTTGTTCATCTGTACAGTGTTCGTCCCTATCGACCCTGCTTTACCTCTCTGTTCCACCCGAGAACAAGATACATAGAAGAGGGATACCTGTTCGCAATGCAAAATGATGCAAACGGGTGGGCTCCACTGTTTTGACCTTCCATCTCAAGTATTCATCTACAACTGGAATCTGGAAAAAATGTGGAAGAGCTCTAATTTAAATCGATAACACCTTCAAGCGATTCAAAAGTTGACTGAAAACCATATCTCCACTTAAAAGGGCTTGGCATAAGGTCCCGCAGCGCTTCACAGAAATTATGTTTACATTACATGCTGCAAATGAGCAGTGGCATGGCTTCCAACCTTTGTCGCAGAATTTACATCCTATCCATTTCTCTCTAACCGTCCATAGATTTGCTCTTTAGACTCTCCCGGTGCGACTTCATAAATCAGCCATCAGCCCGTATCTTGTCGTCCACAATTTGGAGCTCACTGCACATCGTTGAGTCTCAGCCCTCACCTTCACAGCACAACATCGAGTCGTGGTTCGAACAGAATGGTGCTCGTAACCTCTATCTGCACGGACCGACACAGGTTTCTGCTGGGGACTGGCAGTGACCACCAGTATCCTGTGGTCAGATTGCACATGTATCTCATAATCTGAGAATCACCTGATCCAACGCTGCGCGACCCAACGCCAATGTAGTCTCCATTCGCAACAAAGAAGAAGTCATGCCCAGCTCCGAGCTCATGGACGATCTCGTTAGGCATCTGCAGTCTCGGTATCCACTCGTGTGTGTCCGCCTCAACCTCCAACACCTGTGTATCTGACTTACTGCGTGGGGAGCTCGAAGTCTCGGTCGCGTGCCGGAGGTTCACCCACTGATCGCTCACTACATCAAGTTCCCACACATACACTCCTGCCAGAGTCCGATGCGACCCTGCAATAGCACCCTGTATGCCTCCACCCAACAGCAAGCGGCCCTCGTGTTCAAACAAGTGGGGAAAGTTGATGCCTCGGGGCATCACAGCTCGAACGAGTTCCCATTTCTCCTCCTTCACACCCACGCGGTACACTTGATACGAGTAGTTCAGAGCCAATTTTGCGAGCAAGCAGTACATGTACCCGCCATACTCAGCGGCTCCCAATACTTCGTGTCGTCCCCCGGCCCGCAAAAGAGGTGCAGATGATTCCCACTTATTCTTCAGAGAATCGTACACCTGGAATTTCATGTTTTCTCCTGGCATTGGCTCATTTACCACATAAATCTTGTACGACCCCGTCTTCTTGTCCATGATTATTCCCGTGGTATGACACATTCTAATTCTGGGCATTTTCGGAATCCATTTTTTCGTCTTGTTGATGGGATTGAACACCACCATGGAGTGATCTTGTCGGTCAGTGGTGGTTATCAGCAGCAGGCTTCCCGAGGAAGTGATCATGCCCTTCTTGGTGAAAGCCGTGTCCGACAGGAAACATGAGGTGTAGAAAAATGAGGCGGCCTTGTGCCAAGTCCCGGACGACGTATCGAACACGATGTCCTGATCGACGAGGTTGAAAACGAGCCAAAATGGCATGGGCGGAGGAATTCTGGACACTATCTGCTTGAACCCTGCATCCAGGGCGAACGAGTTCCATTCCTTGGATACACACCGCATGCGACAGAAGCTCCGCACGGGCAACCACGTCAAAATGGTATGCAGAACTTCGACGGGTAGCGGCCTACCCCACACTTCAGGTTCCATCCATGGGTCCGATGGGTCCCGGCAAAAATCCATTCTACTTTCACCTTCCTCCCCGTCCTTCCACCCTCATAACCACCACTCCAGCGATAATCTTGCCTCCAACCTCCTCCGATCCTAAATTAGGCTACACAGAGACACGATAATCCGTACAAAATTCCTCTACCCTCGTCGCCGCGCGAAACAAACACACACAGCGACAACTCTCGTCTACAAGCACAAACAGTATTCAATGTCTTCACCCCGAGGCAAGCCTCGTCGACCTCAGCTTATCAGAAGCGAACTTCTTCCCCGCAAAAATGCGCTCAGCCCTGCTGACAGAGCATTCCACCTCTACCAGTCCACCCACACAGGCAGAGCAACATGCATCAATTCCTCCACTACGATTGCGATGCGGACGACCAATTTCTCGAACCCAGTAGTCACCACCGCGCAATAGGCTGGCCTGGCTAGCAAGAGACCCCCGACGCGACAGACGGACAGAGATACGAGCAGCAGCAGCAGCAGATGGGGACGCTACGCAAGAGTCGAGAATTTTAAGGCTCAGATAGCAGCAGGCCAAAAGATGTGGGCGAAGCGGCAGCAGCAGAAGCAGCAGCTTCTTCAGCAGCTCGAAGACAGGCAGAGAGTAGAAGCGAGAGGAGGCTGCTCTGGCCGGCCTGCTACTGCTTGTTGCACATTCGGACTGGCGCTCATCGTTTTGAACGGGGTGCTAGTGTTGAACTCTCTCTCCCTCTTCGGCAATGAATGAGGCGTCGGGACGCTCGGACAATTAATGATGCCCCGTTTCGGAGCGCTGCACCGTGACGACACGGTCCCGGGCTCCCAGGGGAACAACGGCACAGGTACAAAGATAGAGAGAGAGTGAGAGAGGGTAGGGTAAGAGAATCTTTTTTTTTATGCATCCCTCGGGCAGTCGGTCAGGCAGCCAGTCAAGTCATGGAAAGTTTTAGTCCCCCACGAACTAATTCATTCACTGGTGTTAACCCGGGTATCTCAAAGATTGTATAGTTTCCAGCCAGTAATATGGCCATCCACTCATAATTATTACATTTCTCGCAATTTTCTCGCCCCGTGCAAATAGACATTGTCGAAATTCCAACATACACATTTTTTGTAAAAAAAATCAGACTGTAGAAGAATGCGACTGTTTTTTGAATATTTCTCCATATCGGGACATTATTCTGCATATCTACAGTCTTTTTTCTTTCTTTAAGGAGTAAAATTTTAGTGTTATGAGGTGAAGTTCTTTTTGAGAATTCTATATATTCAGGTATGCATCGAAATAAACATATGTATGTCCGGGTTGATTCTTGCTTGCATTAAAAGTCGGGATTAGGTGGATATATTCAGTGTTCTGCAGGCATCTCCGTCTTTAAAGTTCACTTGAAATTCACCTTGCCGACATTTAGTGGACAGCAGGCCCTTTCGTTCCCAGCGACATGGGAGGAAAGGGCCTGGAGCCTGAGAGGGCCTGCTTCGTTCCGGAATCAAGGCGCAGATCTGAGGCCGGGAGCGTCGTTGGAAAGAACGCTGAAGTGTCGGTTTCGGAATTCCTTTTGACATACAAGTGTCCATCAGCGGCATCGAGTATCTGGATGCAAACTCTGGGATGGGCAGGGAAGTACACTTGGGGATCGCGAATGGGGCCCACAAGGGGCATTGTCATTCGGTGCCAGGCTTTCCACATCCACATGAGAAAACCTTTCTGTCGGGGTTCCGCAACGGGTTGCCGGACCGCTTCCTTCTTTCCAGCTCCTAAGGAGCGAAAGGCGGAGTCAGCACGGCGTGACCCGCTTGGCGCTACCGGAATGGAAACTGGCACTCACCAATGGCCACCGTGGCGCACGAATTAAGCGCATCTGGCCTCCAGCTATGGCTCCAGAAGGCATCCAATGAGCGAGATGAACGTCCCATCACGGCCAGGCTCGAGAGCTGCATAAACGACGCAGTTTGGTTTGGCCTCGGAGCCCTGTTCCAACACAGGCTCACGGCCGAGGTACGTGAGTTGTCCGGACATGCCGAGCGGCTGACGAAGCTGCCGCGTCGATCTGGTGAGCTGTATATAACACCCGACCAGAACAAACGAAGTAGCCACGTCCAGTTTCGAAGTGATGGACTTTTATCTCGTGAGAACGGATATCATCTGGTCTTCGCATATGGTTCTGGATTCTATCCGGTAACGGTGTCAACCGGACTTTGGATATCGCAAAAATCACCTTCATCACTCGCCCTGATATTGTGCTCTCTTCCGATATTCAAACTCAAATATATTCTTCTCAGAATTGACAATTGTCGTTACATTCTTCGGTTAAAAAACGAACTTTGACGGAGTCGAATTTTATCCAAAATAAGAACCGCCTTTCCATCTCCTTGAGTTACATTCTTTTTCAAAAAAGTTGTACATACATCTCGGTGGAAAATAATAATTTTTTTCTTTCTATGGATTTGATACTTCTGGTCACAACATAATAATTTGAATGATGGATTATTTACATGCTGTAGGAAGAAATAAATTTACAAAAATTACTTCGTTGAATTTAAAAAGAAGTAATTAGCAAGGTGAATAGCAAGAGGAATACGCAATTGGAATGCTGAATTGACATGTTTTGCCTTGTGCAGCTCTCCTCGTTGAAGCGAGACATGAATTATTCTTATTAGAGAAGAAGGAACCGTAACCTTGCCTGGGGCAGAACGAGTACAGAGTAGTGTGTTTCATTTTCAAGTTTTCAGTGATCGATCTACGTTGGAAAATAAGGTCAGAGTGCCATAGTATAAGAAATAGATACCCCCAAAAGAACATGTGAGTTCAAGAATTCATGCCACAAGAAAGGTCAAAGACTTTAAGAGGAAACAAACAAAGACATCAAAAGCGTACCATTCGAAGATTTAAAACCTTTGATGGATTGGATGTGGCCACTAACATTGCCGCCCGTGACACATCCGGTTAAATCTATGCGCCGGTAAGAGACAAGGGAGGACTTCTGAAGTCGGAGATAGCCAAGGGTCAGCGGATATTGCTGACGATAATAAGTAGTCAACATAAAGAAGATATATGCACATGTCTCCCAATGCCTCCCCATGTCTAGTCTATGTCGTTCGGACTACTCATTAAATCAATTCATCCCGCGAACAATGGAAATTACCAAAAATCTCGAGGGTCAAAGATGTGAAAGCATCCGTAGCAGATCAACCTCATGTTTGTGCCTCCTTCTTGTGTGCTGCCTTTGTTCATGCATGTACTGCCTCCAACGACTCTGTCAAAAGAAGAAGTTCGCAACCGTTACATCACCTAGTGTTTGCTGCCCCTCATGGATTCTTACGAGACTTACAAGAATCACTCAGTGTTACTTACTTGACTTGGTGTCTCTCAACACAAGGTCTTAGAAAATAAATCTCAAACTCTGATTGGAGGCTCTATGTTCGAATTGACTCTTCGTTTCGGTACGTGTAAACTTTTAGAAATAAATTCATGTCATTTGAATGAATAGTCATCCGCAACAACCTCCCTCCCTTAGATAAATGCGTCCTATCAGCTATGTGATAGAGTGAATTGCAAGATATGGTGCAAAATACACGTAGGTCCTTATGTGCAGTGTACCCTGTTTTTGAATTATTGGAGTTATTTAGATGGTGTAGATTTGAATTGCATAGCAATCGGATGCATGCGAGTCGTTGAGCTCAAATCTTTCGTAGCATGTCTTCCTGGTAAGATTCGAGATGGAAGTGCAACTTTTATAAGCTATAATTGCTATAAGATATTATAAGCTATGATTGTACTTTATCCCGCGTTTGGACCCCATTTCAATTGCGCGCATGTTTTTCAACACGTTTACATAATTAGTCAATCTCATGTGACTACTCTACTTCAGTTATATCCCACAATTACCGTATTTCCTATATGTGTTATCCGTATATATATACATTCATGCAAAACAACAAGTAGTTTTTGACATTTTCAACCAACGTATCAAATCTGGTTGAATGGAGTGGATCTTGTGATAGATAATGATGTGTTTTTTGCATCAAAATAAAACATTCATAACCTGGTTTCTCCTCAATGAACCTAGTCACAGAACATGTGTTCCATATTTTCCCTTGGTTTGTGATTAACAGATTCTATAGGCTATCAAGGATCCAAATGACAACGTTGAGGCAATGATATACGACATCGACACATGTTTAAGAGTTGAAGGCCAACCCCGTTAAAGAGAGGAAGCATATGAAACTGCCTCACGCAATTAGTTTCGTCATGGTTGATAAAACCACCCTACAAAATGTACTCAGTACCACTTCTTGTGATCTAGGAACTTGCAGCCATGTGTTTACTGGGCGGTTTTTATAACTTGCACATCCTCTAGTGAGGAAATCGCACGAAGTGTTGTACTCAGTTTCAGGAAGATTTATGGGCTCTATACCACTGCTAGATTATTGCTTCGTCAACACCCATATTTCAAAACATAAAAATAAAAATTCTCAACTTTTGAATATGGTACTATTTATATCTGTCTTCTTAATTCAACCATGAAATTCAAGGACAATCAATAAGAAGGAAACTGGTTATCAGAGTTTACCGTCATTTATAATATGAGAGATCTCGAAATACCCCTACTGCAAACCTCCTGATGAAAACTTCTTCGATTGATTGAAACCACGGCCACCCCTGGGAATTTCCCATCGCATCGTTACTATCAATCTGTCGCATTAAATGAACAACCAGGCCAGTTAAGCAAAAGCATCATCCTCCCCTTCATACTCGACATCACCATGTTCTCGAAAAATGCCTCTACAGTAGGACAGGTGCAGCTGCGGTTAGGTGAGACCCAGCGATCGCTAGGTTGCGGACGAGAGCGAAGATTGCGCATATCTTCAGTTCAGCCTTCGCGATTAGTTGCTGTTCCCGACCAACAGTGAGAAGCTCTGCGGGCCGTCGCGGGCAAATAGTGAACCGAGTAGCGCATGTTGGAGACTGCGAGGACAGCTTGAGACGGATCGCGACCGTCGAGCCAAGACCTGACGGCCGCAGATGCCGATGGAGATTAAACTATGCGCAGTTAGTGCCATGGTGACTTTTGAGTCCACGCTTTGGCCAGCAGGGCCGAGCGATAACAGTCGGTAACGCTAGCAATTTTATATAATTGTGCGGATTCTTCCTGGACCTTTCCTCCGCATTGTTATTGCTGCCGTTGTGTGTTCAAAGTCGCCTGTCGAATGAGCCTGTAACTTCCAACATTTCCACTGTATTTTTCGTTGGAAGAGCAAGTCAACGAGTGTGCGTGCGATTTAGCCTTCTCGCCGAGAGCGACGCCATCATTTGGAATCTCGAAGCAGTGCTCCGAATTTGGTTCCCAAACCAAACATGCCCTCTAAACCTGGAGACTGGAATTGGAATCAATTAACGCAACATGGAGGCCATGACTCCCCGGCTAACTTGCTTGCTTGTGCTATGGTAACACTTATAACCTTTAGATCCCTGGTAGAATTCGGCGCTCTTCTCTTTGATTCGGTACACAACGAGCTTCGGACTCTGTACATTCATGCGTCCAGCATCTTACGAAGGTTTAGACGCCAGAGAGCTGAAAATCCAAAGAAAAGATGAGCGGAGAAAACAGAAAATATTGATTACAAGGCAACGTAAAAACCTTTCAAAGACAGAGCAACTTCACTTGAGAATATAGTGAAGAGTGAAGTTTTATAACACATCTTGACAAATTCTTCGGGTTTTCTTCTCAATTGGGGTACAAT